ATTGAATAAATCTTTATCATCCGTATTCTGAGTCAAAAACGGATATAACATCATGTCTTCACCGCAAGAGATAACAAACAAGAATCGTCAATTCTGAAAAAGATAAGATGAATGATTGGGGCGTGCATCGTCGAACAGAACACAAATATATAGTCTGTTTCGTTTGTATTCTTATCAACAAGAGTGTCTTTCTCCAGGATTGGCAGAAGAAAAAAAAAAACGATTTTTCCGCATATGAATCATTGAAAATCAGAACTGTTGCTTGTTGATTTGACCAATCTTGGACAACATTGCTTATCACGCGCGAAGATGACCCGTTTTGTCATTAGGACGTCATTGCACTTATCCACATTCAGTAGCCCTTTTTCATTTTCTATCCAAATCTTTTCGACTCCCGGACAACAAACCGCCGTAGTCCTGATGATATGCTATCATGAAATGGGGGTAGGTTGTCGTTGAGGCACATCATCCAAAAGCCGTTGGAATTAACAGCAACACGAACAAGAGTCCTTGCTGGAGTCGACGGTTCGGCATCCTCAGAGAAGTAAGATTCATGGAGTGCAAACGGTGACGTTGCAGACCGCTTCCCACCTTGGCGTCGTTGAGCATCTTCCCCTTTCTTTTTTATGGGACAATCCCTTTTCTTGTGACCAAATTCGCCAGAATGAAAACATTGGAAGACTCGTTCATTTCTGGATGGAGCAGTAGCTGCATTTCCGATTCTTCCTGTTTCCTCCGATTCCTCCACGCTGCTGTGGTGCACTGGACCGTGCAAAATAGCTTTGGCCTTTTTTCCGCTTTTGTTTTGCATTACGCATCGCTTGCGCAATTTCTTGAACCGTATATTCGGACTCATGCTTTGCGATGAACTCGGAATGAATCAAAGGCAGAGCATCAAATATACTTCTCAAAAACAGATGAACAAATAAGGATTGATCTGCTGCAGGCGTTAATGAGCAGTACTCCCTCCAGATGCGCTCGATGTTTTCGATATGAATCTCAACATCAGCACCTTTCAGCATGAGTCAAGTCATGCATTAAAAACGTCTTCTGTGGCGCGTAATTCTTGCGCAACATTTCAAAGATTTCAGCTGGATTCATCAAATCCTCGATCTCATGTTGCAGTTCTTCACTCACTGACAGCATCATGACTGAAGTGGCAATATGGGAATACGCTTCAGTCCAGCCAGGATGACGAATCGGGAGTCCGTCCTCTCTACGTGGTGGAAACACATATTCAAGCAGTCCATTACCAATAAGGAACGCCCGCAATTGGAAAGCATACGCATTCCAATTCTTGGCATTCAGCCTCAGAAAACTTGCTAGCAAGCCACAAAAGCGTGCTTGAACCGCTTCAACATCCCCAGTGAAAAATATTCTGCGCCGATGCGAACGTCAAAGTACGACAATTCCCAACAACGTCATCGTTGTTGCTGTCAACAGCACGTTCAACAGAGTGCATTGGAATTAAGGAAACAGAGCAAAGAACGTACAAACAGGTCCAACCTTGACACCAACAAATCACCAGCAAACCGAAGAGAGAACAGTGGTTCAATAACGTTTCTGGAAGCGGCTACTCGCTATCACTAGAGACAAACCGCGACAGAGAGCAATAACAGGGGATAAACCTGAAACAGTCACTGAATCTCTAACGTAGAGGAAGCGGTTCTGGATGTACTCTAGAAGCGAGTGAAGGTTCGTGTTCAGTCACTAGATAAAACTCCTCTGTCCCAACTGGGAGTTGCGTAACAAAATAAGATAAGACGCTGACTTGCCAGATGGACCAGGATCATTTGTTAACATGAGCCACGCGTATCCGATAGTTCAATCCATCAATGTTAGTCTGAATGTTATCGTGTTGCATCTTAGCTGGTTTGAAGTGGGGGAGTCAGATGAACAGGATCATGGGGGTGAAACGTTCTTTTTGAAAGCAACCCCCTTGAAGCATGATGAACTCGGAAGGACGTCTTTGTGTCAGAGGGTAGAAGAAAAAGCTCCACGATGGAATCTTGGGTTCTTTCGATGGGAATGGAAAAGCGCTAAGAAAGACGAATCAAATTCCATTTTGAGTGGAAGACAAAATGATGAAGAGCATCGTTCGATTCTGCTTGAATGTTTTGCATCTCGAAGTGATCAAATATTGAATAACACAATGTCTCATCAAAATCTTTCTGATGATGTCCGAAGCGTCTTTTCTGTCAAGTTCGCATTTCCGCCCCCAACGATGATGCGCGTTGAATCATTTCTGGAGGCTCATCGGTTTTTCGGTGTTCTTGCGAGACAATTTTGCATTTTACCTGATTCTCCAATGTCTGAATGGCCCGAGCAAATATTCGTTTATGACGTACTTTGGAGTCCCAGACTGACGCCACAATGGGAGGATGAAGACACTTTTGTTTCTCATGGATTTCTTGCTCGTGTTGACTTCAATGAACATTCTTTCCAGCCAACACTGACAGTTCCATGGAAGTGTCGACCCCATAGAATCCATCCAAACCAGATTCAGCAAGCGAGAAAAATACTCTGTTTGGGTGAGTCTTGATCGTCCTCTCTCATACAAACACTCTCCATTAGGAAGTTTTTTTTTACCGCATGGAAACGTTTATCTTTGCCCGACGTCTCAAATCCGATTCTGTTTGGATCTTTCAAGTAAAGAAATCAATTTCTTAAAAAGCAAACGAGTTCGGAAGCAGTTGGGACAGTTCCGTTTGTCTGTCAATCGCGCGTTTCCTGAATCACTTCGATTGGCGCGATTGTCTCATTTAGAGCGAACGGGAGGAACGTGGATTTCTGAAGAACTTTCTGAAATTCTGTGGTGGTTTGTTTGTCATGAAAGTGGTGGAGAAGCATTCAGAAATATCGACCTTGAAATTCGTCAACCAGACGACATGGACAGTGATTTGAAGGTTCCTGTTGCTTCGCGTGACATACTTGAAAGCCTCACAGAAGAGAGAATGATTAATTTGGGACAGAACGTTCGCCGTCGTGAGGTCGAGTACGTTGATCATTTGTTCAGTGGGAAACAACTTCCTGTGCTCATCAATCAAAGCGATGTCGACAGTCCGGAAGTCTTTCCACCAATTAGGATGTATTCGTTTGAACTTTGGGACAAGGAAACACGTGAACTTGTCGCATCGACATTCACCTATGTTATTGGGACAGTGGCGAGTGATTTTACGATTGTTACTGTTCGTCGTGATCAACGGAGTTGTGGGACTCTTCTAACGCGAATTGTTGGACAGATCTTGAAGAATTGCGGAGCAACACTTTGGTATTGGGGCATGAAGCTTCCGTATATGGAGGTGAGTGACTTTCCATTGTGGATTACTGTTTGGATTTTATAGGAATTTGGGAAATTGCATGGTTGTGGAATCGAATTACCGTCGAGAGATTTCTATAGAAGATGGTGGAAAGAGGCTTTGGGATGCCAACTGTGTCAGTCTGATCTCGATTTTGGGACACACCGTCGTATTTCGCTTCCAGTAAAGTCCTTCGACCATCGCAAATCAGGAAATCATGATGTACACGATCATGCATCAGTCAATCCTGATTTGGAACAATCAGTCAACTCTGATTTGGGACAATCTAATGGATCGACTACGCTGTTCCTATGCCAATCCTGTGTTCAACAATTCTTTGGTGAGAATTCATTGATGGATCGAAACTCAGAAGAGCCGTTCAAATATATCGATGTCGAGCGTTACATCAACGAAGGTCGAGCTCCCGTTAAACCGCTTGATTTCACTCCAATTCTTCCAATTCGATGAACATGTGGATAATTGTCGATATATAGATAATCATTGATAGATATATCGACCGTCACTGATGAACAGTGCGACGAAGTGTCAAGAGTTTGGGCGGAGGTAAAAAAGTCTGGAGTGTCATGAATGATTATCTGCGTTTTCGAACAGTTTCTTTCTTCGGCTGTCGTTGTACTTGCGTTGCCTCTCCTTCTTGTGGTGTCGCGGGTGCGATGATTCTCCTCTTCTTAGGTTGGCGCACTGCTCGTAGAAGACGCCTAACTGCTGCGTAATACAGCCAGAGAACGAGGAAAACGACAAAACATCCTAGAAGAATTAAACCGACATCAATGCTCAAGAATATTAGAAATTGGGAAAGTGTTCTGGAAAAGATAAAAATTGGAGTCGATATGAATATAATTATCACGAATATAATTATCACAAATATAATTATCACCTCTTAGGAATCACTGGAGGAATTCGATCAAGGCATGAATAATCCAACGTTTTGTGCAAATCCTGAACAACCCGGAGCTTGGGTCGTCCTTCAATGTCATGGATTGTTCCAATAACCTGCAGGTGGGCAGGCGTCGTTTCGACAAATTCGAGTGTTCCGAAATTGCGAGCTTCGTAAAACTGTCGGTTCTGTCGATCGACTTCTGAATTTGGCGGATGGTGTGTCCCAAATTTATGCTGGAAGAGCGGGAATATGATATCTGTAAGGACTCCTCCCATCAGCGGTTTCGAAAGGACAGAATGCGTGAGACCACTAGATGTGTATTCAACAACACAATCCTGAACAGTAGGATCCCATCATTGAAGTCTTTCGAAACTGAGACTTACTGGTTCACCACTGAGTTGACCGAGATGCACGTCACCCGACAAGAAGATCAATCCCGGCGGACGAACAGTTTTGATTAGATCGAATAGGCGACGGCGACTCCTCGGAAAATGTCCCCAAGACTCAAATACTGGAATACTCGTCATCACCTATAAGGTAACAAACGCATCAAGACCCAACAGATGGAGCAAACCTGGATCGATGAAATAACAACTGTTGCTTGAAACTCTGATCTTTTTAATTCTTCCTCAAACCACTTCCATTGTTCTTCTCCAAGAACGTCTGCACTGTGGTCCCATCCGACTCTGCAACAAAGAATCTCGTCCACTGAAAGAAATGCGTAAACCAACGACTCTTCTATGATCAATGATCTATACACTAGAGAGATAATCATCTGTCCATAAATATCTCTTATCTGTCTATAAACTAAAGAATGAACTGACGATGGATTCGTACCCGATCAAAGACGTTAACATCCGAAGGACTGCAGCAATGACACTCGAAAATGGAATGTTAGAATATTGTCCAAGACTCTCGATCAAAGGTTGCTCCCGATGAGTGCGAACATCGAGCAAAATCAAGTTGACTTGACTGCGGGAATCACTGATCGAAAATGCACGAGACGAGTAAACACCATCGCGAGTCCTTCTCATCGAATTCTTTGGGATATCGAGAAAATCGAGGAAGAGTCCTTGCGACTCAGCCTTGTATTGAAACTCCTTTCCCCCATCGTTGACTCCGTAATCGTGATCATCCCAAGTCCCATCAATGAAGGGAATCTGTTCTTTGAAACGTTTATAGTCTGAGTTCGACTCTAGAGACTTGTATCCTTCTTCGATACATTTCGGTGAGCTGCAATCTGAAGTGCAATCAATAAAAATTGACAACTGAATCTCACTTGCATAAATGGCGTCTCCAAGCCACAACCATCCTCTAGGGGAAACATTCAAAATTGTGTCCCAAAACTCCTGTGACTTGTACTGTTTTGCACAACTGCCAAATGCAAGCACGTTCGAATTCTGCAGTTCGCTCTGAGCAAGGACTAAAAAGAACAATCCGGTGGCTAAAACGGCCACTCGGCGCATGTTTTGCCTACAGTCACAGAACTTGAATCTTCCAGCCTTACGGAACTGTCGGAATTGGGACTAGGGATCGGCACTGGGATTAGGGACGTGGGGAAGTGGGGTTAGGGAAATGGGATAACGGACGTGGAATTTGGGAAGTCCCAGAATTCTCAAGTCAATCAAAACCACACAAAGGAATAACATATGGGGACTAGATGTTCTAATATTTGTTCATTTGTGTAGAAGTGGCCGTTCTTTCAAAAATGTAACAATCCCTATCAATCAATCACCAATGTCCCAAATTTATCCACCTTGTAGGTTTGTGAAACCCAATAAGACTCCCTTATTTATTCCCTCGAGACGATGAAGGATACCAAGAATTATCACGGTGCCATCCCTTTCTGGCAATTCTGGTGCATCAGGCTCACCACATTCATGCTTTAATTGACGACCACCAATTTTTGCCAGTCGCTAAAATCGAACAGCCCGCCGTTTTTCGTGAGGCGCCTTTGTTAGAGATGTCCGGTTCCAGGGTGCCCGCGGTTTCCGTCTTCGTCTTTATTTTTCTTGTTTCCTTTGGGCGCTCAGCAACTCCCATTGAGTCAGCTCAGCTTGGTGGATTAGAACCAGAACAATTTGTCTCCCAAAAACCTCGTTCCAGTTGGAGAAAGGTTTCTTCTGCGGATGCTCAGCTGAGTGTTCCAACACCTGCCCCCGCACAACCATTCCTAGCGCCTGCTGCTCAGCGTCTTTCAGCACAACCACAACTCCCGCCTCCATCAGCGCAACAACAACCTCCATCAGCGCAACAACAACCTCCTCCAGCGCAACAACAACCTCCATCAGCGCAACAACAACCTCCTCCAGGGCAACAACAACAACCACCCCTCCTGTCAGCGCAACAACAACAACAACCACCACCCCTATCAAAACAGCAACCAGTCCTGTCAGAGCAACAACAACAACCACCCCTCCTGTCAGCGCAACAACAACAACCACCACTCCTATCAAAACAGCAACCACTCCTATCAGCGCAACAGCAACAACCACCCCTCCTGTCAGCGCAACAACAACAACCACCACTTCTGTCAGCGCAACAACAACCACCACTTCTGTCACAGCAGCCTCGACCTGTTGGTTCTGCTTTGCCTGGCTATGTTCACGCGAAGCCGGCAATCCACGAACCCATGAAGCCCCATCTGTTTAAGTTTGAACCCTGGCAGCAAATGGAATCCTGTGAGTTCGAAACGTCACAATGTTTTCCATTCTTAATGTTTTCCATTCTTTTTTTTCCAGGCAACAATATTGTTTCCGAGCTCAATCTTGTACCTGGTCAATATACAAGATCGATGCTTCTCTATACAATCATCGCTTCGGTTGATAAAACGGCGCACGATGAGCCTGGCGAGAATGTTAGATCAGACAAGGATGCTGTAGGAGCACTAGATCAACTGTACCGCGTTGTATTCGAACATGGAGGTCATGGAAGCTTTGATGAATCTGTATCTGGATTGCTTCCTTATATTGAAAGACTGATTCAGTGTGAAGCTGATCCAGTAAGTGTTTTTCTTTTATTTGTTTATCTGTTTATCTGTTTGTATAGGAAACTGGACGAACGCTACATCAGAAATTTATCGAGCACGGAATGGTTGGCGCTCTTCGAACGGATCTTGCCCGTTGGCTGGCTGGTGGATCCTCCACATACAGCCCTCATTTGCGACTTGACAAGGTGAGGAATGAGTGACAATCTGAATCCACTCTCTTGATTCTCAGGAAGGAAACACGTTATTGCATTTGGCTGTTATGTCTGGTTCCATTCAAACAATGGAAGAAGTCTTTCTAGTTGAATCCAGACGCTATCCATCAACTGGAGGGATAGTTGGTTTACAGAAGTCCTTATTTTGGATTTTGTCTGCTCTCAATCATAGGAATTCTGTAAGAAATATTAGAATGTGCGGAATGATTTGATTGATCTTCATCAGGCACAAAAGAGTCCTCTGGATCTTGCACCTACACCGGGTTTTGTTTCTGAGCTAAAAAAGCGTTTCAGAAATGTAACAAATTTCCTGAGAAAACTCCTGCAGGTCCAAAACTTATCATCAGCAACGATGTTAGGGCTGTCTAATGCCATTGGTGCTGCTGACCAACAACTCAAGAGCTCTCAGCTGATTGCCGCTGCTGCCTGATTTTTTGTGTTTTGTCCAATTGTTTTTTTGTCGTAAAAAGAATTTACAATCACCGAAAGAACGCCATTGCTGCTTGATTCTCTTTAGATCTTTTCAGCAGCAAGTGCAAAGCTGATAGATTGAAATCGAGCCGGTCCTAAAAAAGAAGAGTCGTTTTGCTCATTTCTACCCACCGGGGCTTCTCACCTTTTCTTTCAACAATGCAGGACGTAGATATTGATGGATTTGGAGCAGAGATTCACGATGGGGTGGCGACAATAAAAATTGCCTTAAATGAAGATGGATGGCTAAGAGTGTAACTCTCGCCACAGTCTCAATAGAATGAAGACCAAGGAAAGCCGTTTCCGCTTCAGATGTGTTAGAGAGAGCCTTCAAAAACGATCCGACGAAAAGTAGCAACTGCGAGGAATCAGGGTAAGGCATTTCCCAAATACTGTTTTACCTTTTCTGCAAAGTTGAAGGGCAACGCAACAACAACTTCGTGCATGAGTGGAATCGTCAACGTGGTCAAAACGTTGAAGAGGTATCTATGAGGTGAGAGTCCATTCATTTCTATTTTCGATGACGGAGCGATTGGTTTGGACGATCCTTCCAATTTTCCCAATGATGTTTCATTGCCGGAATGTTTTTGTAATGATGTCCACGTTGCCAAAGCTTCTTTATATTCAACCTGCTCCTTCCATGCTTTTGTTGCAACATCTATTGCTTCCATCAGTTGTTCTGTCGATTTAATTGCTTCCACAGTGCGCCGTGTCGGTCTCGTCATAACCACTTCTTGAGCCCCAAATCCTCCTCCAGCTGATCAAAGACATTAAGAATACATTTGAAATACATCAAACTTGAATGATGTAAATCTTACCAGGCATGTCAGCTCTTGCAGCTTCTCGATCTAATTTGTCTTCAAGAATCTTTTCTTGTTCCTCTCCGGCAAATATTTGATCTTCAGTTCTTGTCCAAACTCGAAGCGATCGATCCAATCCTGAGAAACAAGAACATCATCAAACGAATATCCATCGAACAATCATCGACAAGAGTATCCCAACAATAACAACAAGAGCTCATGATTGCAACACAACGGACGAGTTATTTGATGATTCAGTCCCAATTTTCTTACCTCCAGCAATAATTCGATCTCCATCCAAACGGGTGACAGCTAAACACGTCACGGGTTTGACATGCCCGGATAATTGTGAGATCAGATCCCGTCGATCAGAGTCCCAAATTTTAACAAGACAATCCTTCCCAGCAGAAACAACGTAATGTGTATCCTTCAGAAATAAAACCTAAACAGGAACAGGAATATGAAATTGTAAAACTCCGTTGTGATGTTTAGTGAGATAACAATAGACAATTTGGTTGTACCTGCGTGACGCCCTCATCATGTGCATGCCAACTTTTTTGGATATTTCCAAAATCCATTCCCCAAATTTTGATCGTTTTATCTGCAGATCCGCTGACTAATAATGTCGAATCTGACGAAATAGCGATTGATGGGGCGGGAAGCTTATTGCCATATAACGTCAAAAAGAGTTTTACAGAATCTGCATAGAACAGTTGAATCGTGAAATCCAACAGAGAGACTGCAACGAATTTTCCATTTGGACTGAACTGCAAAAGAAGAATGGAGAAATCATAAAAGATTCATACAGCGATAGCATTGTCACCTTCACATCGAGTCCTTCATCCATCAAACTCGAATCTCCAATTTGTTTACAACGAACTGTTTGAGCTGAAGTGTCTTTCGATTTGACGATTTGAAATTGAAAGAAACGAAGGACTTTGTCAGTTGAAACAGTTGCGAATCTAAACAAGATTAACAACATTTATAGTTTCAATTAGTCACCATTCATTCTGACCCTGTTTTCTTCGGATGCTCCGCCATTGCAACGACAGATCCATCATGACTATGATCCAGTTGATCAGTAATTGTACAAGCTTGAATATCGTAGAGTAAAAGAGATCCCTTTGATGTTCCAACAACAATGTGGGAATTGCCAGCGATAAAAAATCCACATGTTACAGATTCTGGAGCCGTTAGATGATGTATCAGTCGATGATTATCGCAATTCCAGATATGGATACTCTACAAAATGATAATGGTTGTAAAACAGGATTCTCGAAAATGTCGATAATATCCATGAAGTCATATCCATAAAGTCGATAATATCGACTCACCTTATCAGCAAGTGAGAGTATCAATCCATCATCGTGACTAACGCTAACACTTCGTGGCCCTTGAGAATGTCCCAATCTGTTGATACGGTGGACGGTCTTCAGAGTAACCTCCTCTGTTGATTTGGACTCGTCGATACTTTCAGTGATTTTCGCTGGTGGGCCCTGAAAAGAAAAAATGAACCACGAGTTGATGGGAAACAGAGCTATTGATATATAAATATCAACATCGTATATACATCAAGATCGAATATACATCATCAACATCGAGATATACATCATCATCATCAACATCGATATATACATCATCAACATCGATATCACCAGCCAGTGTACTCCGCTATCCTCACCTTTCGAACCAAGAGCTGATCTAATGGGAGTGTGAAGACATCAATAGAATTGTCGCCATATCCAACAAGAAGAGACCAATTCAGATTGCAATAGTCAAGCGATGATGGTTTCTTCTTCAGATAAAATGTGAAGATGTATTGAAATTGATCAGACACATTTGGGACAATTTCTTGACTGTCTTTCCTCAACTCGTCCATCTCTATCGCCAGGTTTTGTAACTGCAGCAAAGAGGCTTCCTTCTCTGCTTCATACGTCGTTCCCAACGCTGTCCTTTTTCCCTGATTTATCTTTGTATCTAACATTGCACAAAATTCCTTTATTTCTTCTAATCGTTGCTGCTTTTTCTTCAATTTTTCCATCGCCCTCCGTCGTCTTCTCTTAAATTTCCTCTGCTGCTCATCCGGAGTGAACTCTCTATAAATTTCGATGGCTCTAGTTGTTGGGCAAGACAACAAAATCACCTGCCGGCTGTTCCTAGATGAGATTTGAAACGTTGTTCCCGTTAATATCGTTCCATTTCGAGTCGCGAATTCTTCAGGAGTCTTGCCCGATAATTCTCGTCCTAACAAAGCGCTTCTATCATCACTCCACGTACTTCTGACATCGTTAGCCAGATCATCCACATCGACTGCATATAAAAGCTGAGTCGCTCTCCCCCCGACCGTGAGGTCTGTTAACTGCTCCGACAAGCTCGATCACATGTGCAGTTGCCTGTTCTTGTGGATCCTCATCCATGAGCACTTCGGAGGGACCATCATGAACACGGTGAGATGATGGATCCCCGTAATGAGAAACGTTCAGATTGAAAACTTTTAACTGATGATCTGAAGATCCCACCAACAATCGAGTCTGAATAGAGAAACGATAATAATGAAGGAATAAAGATAATCGTAAGTGTGTTTACTTGTATAGGATTGACGGCAAAAGAACAAACCTCCCCCGATGTGTCGAATACAGTTTGGATACACCATTGTGTTGCCAAGTCCCATACTTTGATTGTTCCGTCTTTGCTGCCGGATATCAATAAACAAGGTGCTCTAGTAAATTCCACAAAAGTCTGATCGGATTCTGAATTGGGAGTTTCGCGCTGGTCCAATTCAGAACGGGATCGTTTCTTCTTTTTGTTATCAACTGAATCATCCACAATCGTATTGGTGGGAGTAGGATCCTCTTTGTTTGTAGGAGAATAAAGAAACCTCAAACAGCTTATACCATTTCGATGTCCACGAAGACGGAATAAACCCGATCGAGCGACTATGTCCCAAATAACAATATCAGTGTCCCAACCTCCACTCGCCAAAATGTGTCCATCAAGACTGAACTCCAAAAATGCAATTCCAGATTTGTGTCCATGCAACGTCAGTAATTGGTCTTGAACTGGTGCAGCAGTGTCCCAAAGTCTGACAGATCCATCGGAATAGCCAACCGCAACAATATTCTTTTCCAATGGATGTGCGCAAACACGCGTGACTGGACCTGTTGTCGGCGAGCTCTCGCTCTGGACAGGCGAGAACTTCTTCTCGAGCGCGCACTTGCGCGGATTCCACATCGACAGAAATTCGTTTCGTCCCGTAATCGCGATTGCCCCCGAAGCATCCAAAATAACGTTTGATTCTGGTGACGTGACGACGCCAAACTCGTCATCAAACCGATATCGCAGATATCCCTTCACCATCCTGGAATTGTAGGTACAGGTCCTTTAGATACAGGTCCTGTTCTTCTCAAAATTTTAACATGCATTGGT